TTTTTTTTTTTTTTTTTTTTTTTTTTTGGGGGGGGGGAGTGGTGGGTGTTCCAAGGTTCCACTTCTCCTAGATTAAAATGCACCTTTAAAGCAGAAGGGGGGACTTGACCAATCATAAAAGCATCTATAAAAAGGAAAGAATCAAGCTTTAGCAGAAAGCAAGATGTATCAAATCAACCAAGTAAACATCTGCCAATGACTCTTTCAAAATAATGGTCAATGGTCAACATCATCAAGACTATCAAAATGGATGGTGACTACTGATGTATTAGAAAGAGTATCTTCAAGTAGGAAAGCTGCCACCAACCTAACGCAAAGAGACTGCCTGCTTTAGCACTATTCTTCACTTTTCTTCATGATATGAAAAAATATATTTTGAAAGAAATGAGCAGCTCAAAATAAAACATGAAAACTGCCTTCAAGTAGCTGATACAATAGGTTGTATAAAAATATATTCTGTAAAACTTATTAAACAAATTAAATAAATAAGCAACTTCAAGAAAAGATAACATGAGCAACCAAGAAACAAAATGACTCAAGGAATTTTAAATAGTAACAGTTCAAAGAGAAGAAATACGTCATAGAATAGCCAAACCAAACAACAATTACCTGTGAAGCATCACCAGATTTGGGCAGGTTCTCCAGGTAAAGCTCCCATTCCTGTCCTTGCCAATCAGCAACTTCATCCTCCCTTGGCATCCTACCAAGCTTGAACTCGTTTGCCAATGATACAATCTTTGAATAAATGTTGGAAACTGGCTCCATGGCATCTGAAGGAATTCCGGTACCCTCGGTCCATAATTTCAAATCAATTTCATTTTCTATTCCAGGGACATTTGCTTTCAGGAAGTTAAGAAACATGTCAGTGTCGATGGACTGGAACTTGAAGGTGGCAATATATTTCTTAAGAAATTCATCAAATGCAGGCCTTCCAATCTGAGCATTGAAGAGAAAAAACAACATTAATCAGGATATTCTTCTTCAACCAATCTCTAGAAAATTTTAAAATGAGAACCGGAAAGTACACAAACCTGTCTTTCAATGCGCCATAAGAACTGGAAACCTTTTTCATAAGGGACTTGAGAATAAATGTCATCAGGGTCTATTCCTTCCTGATTGGTTTTGAGCTTTGTGAACTCCATATTGTCCTTGAATCTCTCCATTTCCTCAACCAAACCCTTCCAACCGATTCCAATATTCAATGCAGCTCTGTCATCCCCTTGCACGGCCTCAACAATTCTCCTTTCTGCATATGTTGTGAAACCCTAGAACCACAAATAAGAAAATAGCATATACATTTGTACAGATGAGGAAAATTATGTGGTGTGGCGCTGCCTACTGGTGTAAATCTGAAATTCATCAATCAAAAAAGACTTCAAAAGAAGTGCAGGACAATTTCAATCTTTCCGTTGAAGATTTATGTAAAAATGGGGATATCAATTTGACCAAATTCCTTTCATGACTCAAAAAAGCCCAATAGAATTTATGGGATCACTTAATCAGTAAAATATAGTACAACATTTGAGATTCTTGATGTCCAAACTCCGCCAAAATGAGAGCAAGAAAACCTCAGCCAAAACAAAAGCAACAAAAATTCAGCCAAAACAAAAGCAACAAAAACAATAATGTTCTAACTACTCTTTAAATTCATCTAGAACTCTAAAAAAAACATCATTCCATACTCCTTATCTTATTCGTTTCCATTTAAGTGCCTATTATATGAAAGAATTTGAAGAGATAAACAAAACAATCTGAGTGGATTGCTACAATTTTGGAAAAAAAATAAAAGCCCATGGATTGATGAACAAAATAATTTAAGTGGATTAAACCAAAAGTTTTTAGTAAAGAGTTGACTCCGCATAACACAAGATGACAAGAATCAAATGGTTCCATTTTGTGTTGGCATATATTGAAATCAGAAGCATTGCACAGCATGGCATGTATTTAATCTTTCCTCTAATGCTAGTTAAGCAAGTGTTAATCACCATATGTAAGACAGATACCATTTTCTTCAATTGATATTCCCGTAAACAAACACATATTCCTACTATCCAACAATAGACATTCAATGTTCAAGGAATTGGACAAAAGTTAGCACCATAAGAGCATCATAAAATCAGAGGAAAACAAATAAAATTGAAACTACAAAAAACCATCTATTGTTGTTTACCTCATTCAACCAAAAGTGATCGTTGGTCTTGTTAGTAATCAAATTCCCAGTCCAACTATGAGCAAGTTCATGGGCCACCACCTGAGCCCCACTGGCATCCCCCTTGATCACCGTCGGCGTCAAGAATACCATCCTCGGATTCTCCATTCCACCATACGGAAAACTCGGCGGCAACACCAACAAATCAAATCTCTCCCAATCATAAGCCCCAAACATTCTCTCTCCAACCCTAATCATATCCTCCGTCCTAGAAAACTCCCTCGCCGCCGCGTCCAACACCGCCGGCACTGACTCCGAATATACCCTAGTCCTCGGCCCCACCTCCCTAAACCCCAATTCCCCCACGGCAAAAGCAAAAAGATACGGCGGAATAGGCTGTTCCATGACGAACTCCTCCACCACTCTCCCTTCGGCACACCACAGTGAATCATCACACGCCGACCCATTCTCGGAAGCCACCGGAGGTCGCCGGTCGACATGCCGAGCGGACATAACCGCCGACAGCTGTCGCGGAATGTTAAGCTTCGCCGCGTAACAAACACGCGCCGCAGGGGTGTCCTGGCAGGGGAAAATCGAACGGGCGTGAATGGATTGGCATTGGGTATACACATATGGGTGAGATTTGTTGAATGTCTGTGGCGGTGAGAGCCATTGAAGAGCGGAGCTAGAAGTGCTCGTTGATGAGATGACCAGAAATTTGGAGTGGTTGGAGAGAGAAACGATCAGAGACTGACCTTTGATTGGGTCGGAGGTGGGGGAGAGAGAGAAAGGGAGGTGGGTATGGGTGGTGGGGTCGAGTACGGAGGAGATGGAGAGAGAGCGAGTGTCGAGGGTGATGGGACCGGAGTGGCGGGTGGGGAGAGAGATGAGAGTGGAGGAGCGGATGGTGGAAGACGAGAAGTCAAAGTAGAGGGAGAGAGAGATGTGGGTGGTGAGAGGGTGGGTGGAGTCGGTGAAGGAGTGGGGGTCTATGGGTGACATTGTTAGGGTTAGGGTTAGGGTTTTGCAGAGAGAGTGTGGGTGGGTCTGGTGATTGGTAGCTTTTGTTAACGGTGGAAAGGGTGGAGTAGAACTGAGAATCGCAGGGACTGGTATATATAATTGTACGAAATAATTCCGGCGATCATGTGAGACCACGAACACTCAATCGATGAACGTGAAACAACTGGGTCAGGGAAAAAGGGGGTTAAGTGTGTATCCGATTAATTTCCTTCAAAATTTAAATTAGTATAAGATCGAAAAATTTTGCTTAATGAATTTTTTCTGGTTTGAATTTGCATACCTTCGTCCATCTTTCTAAAGAATATTTATACTTGAACTAACAATGATTGCTAAAGATCTTCAGTTTCATCTAGACATCTTCACATCTGACACACCATTCTTCGTACAGTGAACGTTTTCTATTCACGTCTCCTCCTATTGAATGTTAAGAAAATGGGATAAAAACTCGGTCATCTGCCGAGCACTTATGCCACTCCTCGAATAACCAAATCCATTAGGTCGGCATCTGACTTCAACTGAGCATTGAATACTCGGTGGAATAGTTTCTCGGGAGAGCTGATGCGTCGTCTCAACACATCAGTCATTAATACTTAACCATCATGACAGTAAGTTTAGACTTCTAGAGGGCAATTGCTTACAGGCGCGCATTTATTTGCCCTATCACTATCACTCATTCTACCATAAATATGAGGTCATATCGCATTAAATATGATGTCAGCTGTCGTACTCGGCCACTCCGTGTCACCATACATCGGCTTACCTCCTCGACATCCTTTGGATATCCCAACGGCTTCATTGTTCCACGTGTCAACCCGTGAGTTGAAGAGCCGCACTGGAGTCCCGCCAACTGTCCCCCAGCCGCAATCCTTTTCGCAGCGCAAGACAAGTGGCATAAAGAGATTGGGGCTCCATCATCATGCCTTATTAACGGCGACGGTTACTTGCACGTCTAGTGCCGCCCTTTTCAAATACCCTAATGATGAGCCAACTTTTTGATTCCCGCTCCCTGTGAGGTAGTATAAATAGGAGATTTTCTTACCTTCTCAGAACTTTTGCATCCTCAATCTCTCGTCAGCAATTAGACCCCGAGTGCTCTCCCGAGTTTCCTTCGTCCTCTGAGCCCTCTTTGAAGACCACCCTCCTGTAAGTATTTTCACTTGAGCTTTTTCTCTCTTCATTTCCTCTATATTTCGTCCTCTTAGCGCCCACCAATGAGAACTAGTAGAACCATGGGGGAAACGTTTGTTAGGGCTAGTACTACCCACAAGATGAAGAGAACCCAAGTGACAAATGAGAATACCCAAGTCTTTAGGATTAGGTACCACATCCGTGAGCCTGTCATCATTTTCCCCTTTAACCCCATTCACCATAAGAGGGATATGGAAAATGTGGACATGATGCCTTTTTGGACGAAGGCCATCATGGAAGGAGGGTTGACATTCCCCCTTCATCCCCTGTTGCTGGGAGTTTTGATGCAACTGAAGCTCTTTCCCCTTCAATGTGGGGTTAACTTCTTTAGAATTGTGATGGGCGTAGTCGTCATAAACACTCGGCTGGGGACTACCGAGTTGACCTTACAGGTAGATGAAATTTTATTCTGCTACGACCTAAGGCTCGTCGCCGGGGGCGATATTACCTCCAGGCTCGAAATTCCTCAATGTACTTGGTAACCCACATGCCTGACTCGGACAAGGAATATGTAAACGATCTGATCATGCTCGGCGGTAGTTGGGAGAAAGGGACCGGGCCCGAGTCTGACGGATTGTACTATCCCAAAGTGCCGAGGGATGAAGATGTGTTTTCTTTCCGACTTTTTGATTTATTTATTCTTGGGTCCGCAGGACGTACTGATTTTTGCTTTGCTTTTGCAGAAGGATATCGCCGAGACGTTGCTCAACCAATGAGGTCCCAAGTCCGATTTGCTGATCTGCTAAGGGTCTAGTCCTCGAATTCGGTTGAACGAGCGGCGCATACCCTTCTTGGCTACACGCCGACCTACAGCCATTTCTCCCAGATCCCACCTCCTTTCAACCCTTCCATTTGGGAAGATCACTCCTCGTCGGAAGAAGAAGAATTCGAGGGAGGTTCCAAAGAAAAGTCTCAGCATCACGCTCTCGAGCCACTCACACTCGAAATGTTTAATCCGCCACCTATCACCGCAATTATAATGGAGGTCGTCGCCTCAGCAAGGAGAGCCAGGCTCGCCAGGTTGGTCGGGCCTTCCAACATTGCCCCCACCATTCCCTAGCCCAGTTCTCCTCGGAGGCAGCCATCGCCGTCGCGTACGCAACCCAGGGATTCAGCCGTGCCGACCAGGCAAAGGCCCCAATCTCAACAAGTCCACGCTCCGGGAGATCGGCTGAGGGATAGGTGTGCTCGAGATGCCAAAAAATTTAAGGAGCTTCATGTAAAGCAGCGGAATGATGCCCTGGCCTCGGGCCTATTTGTCTCTTGCGAGTGGGTTGCTAGGGCCGAGACCAGGAATAGCCAGCCTGTTTTGGAAGCCGACTTCATCCTCTAATCCCCGGAACTGGCCTTTGTCATCGCGGGGACGCTTCAATTTGACGCTGATATGACCGTGTACAAAGGTTTTTGGACAATCGGCTCCTGATGAGCACTATCCAGAATAACCTAGTGGTAAGTTTAACACTTTCCCGAGTAGCCCTCGCCCCTTTTTAGTCATTCCCTAATATCCCTTCTTTTTCAGGCCAGCCAGCAGGTGGGAGCCATCATTCAACGTTTTTGGTAATATAAGCAAGAGGCGAAAAATGCCGAGCGAGCTGCAGCTGCTAAGGACGACCACATCCTGAAGGTTGAGAGAACCCTCGGTGACCAAACCAAGCACATTGCCGAGCTCATCCGCCAGCGGGATGCCATTCATACCGAGCTGGAAAAAGCCAAGGCGAGTGAAGCCGCAACGATAAAAAGGCCGAGGAGTATAAGCTGTGAGTGTCCTCCTCCGAAGCCAAGATGCAAGAGTCCGAGTCTGTAATCAGCGCTCTCATTGCCAAAGTGGACTCCTTGACAGCAAAAAAAGTGGGGGGAGCAGGAAAGGCTACAATCGGAGTGTCAGAGGGTGTGGGCGGCCACTCAAAACCAAATGGTCCCCGCTTTCGAGGAAGCCAAGAAGAAGGCCTTCAAAGAAGGTTGGGACGCCACCCTTCACGCCTGCCACGTCGAGGTAAGCTCGGACTTGTTCGTCATGCACAGCTTCCGAAGGGAGGCCGATGACGAAGCCTTGGATGAACGGGTCCAATCCGGCCTCGGCGATCATGTGGAGGCAGAAGGGCCGATCAGGGCTGAAGGTGGAAGCGAACCCATCACACTCAACGACGAATCTGACCAGCCTGCTCCTGCCCTTCCATCTTTGCCACTTGCCCAGCCAATAGACAATCTGTCCTCTTCGCCCCCCATCATTACTGGAACGCATGATACCGAGCTATATGAGATATTGGGGGCTAGAGATGAGTTACAAAGGCAACGTGGAGGCCTCGACAGGGAAGGATCCGGGAAAGAATGAGCTGAGGGCCTCAGTAGCTGGTGGTTTCCCCTCTATGTCCCGTATTTTTGCAGTTCCTTGTAGCTCTGTACTGAATTTTGCTACTGTTTGTATGCCTGGGGATGCAAAGCCCCTTTTCTATAATGAACTTTAGTTTTCTATAAGTGTCTACTTTCCTGCGGCAATCGTATTTTCTGAGTCTTACACCCCTCGGGGCAGTACCCCAAACGATCGAGCACTTGGCTCCTTAAGATTTTGAGTGCGTTGCTCCAAGGGTGGAGTCTTACACCCCTCGGGACTGTACCCCTAACGATCGAGCGCTTGGCTCGTGTTAGTATTTTGAGAGCGTTGCTTCAAGGGTGGAGTCTTACACCCCTCGGGGCCGTACCCTTAACGATCGAGCGCTTGACTCGTTAATATTTTGAGAGCGTTGCTCCAAGGGTGGAGTCTTACACCCCTCGAGGCCATACCCCTAATGACCGAGCGCTTGGCTCATTGGTATTTTGAGAGCGTTGCTCCAAGGGTGGAGTCTTACACCCCTCGGGGCCGTACCCCTAATGATCGAGCGTTTGGTTCGTGTTAGTATTTTGAGAGCGTTGCTCCAAGGGTGGAGTCTTACACCCTTCGGGGCCGTACCCCTAACGACCGAGCGCTTGGCTCGTGTTAGTATTTTGAGAGCGTTGCTCCAAGGGTGGAGTCTTACACCCCTCGGGGTTGTACCCCTAACGACCGAGCACTTGGCTCATGTTAATGCCACCGTGAAGACTGAAACCTGGTTTAGTAATAGTATTTCTTTAAATTTGATACATTCCATGGTCGGATTACATCGTCACCATTCATATTTTGCAAACGATATGCATATGTGCCCCCCACAGAGATCACCTTGTAAGGGCCCTCCCAATTGGGACCTAGTTTTCCATCAGTAGGCTCGCGCGTATTGCCCACTATTTTTCGTAGCACCAAATCTCCGACTTGGAATTCTCTCGATCGAACTTTCTTCTGGTGTTGCCGTGACAACTCCACTTGGTACTTTGTCAGCTTGATGAATGTCAACGACCTCCTTTCCTCGGCTAGATCGAGATCCCTAGCGAGAGTTTGATCATTACTGCCCAACTCAAAGGCTCGGCTCCGTATTGTTGGGAGTCCTACCTCCAATGGGATGACCGCCTCGATCCCATATGTCAGGGCGTAAGGGGTTTCTTCCGTCAAAGTCCTCGGCGTGGTTATGTATGCCCATAATACGTTATGTAACTCCTCGGTCCACCTTCCCTTTGCTGCCTCGAGTCTCTTCTTGATTCCCGCCAACATAGTTTTGTTGGACACCTCAGCCTGTTCATTACATTGGGGATACGTTGGCGTAGAATAGTAATTGCGCATTCCGTACTCCGAGCAGAATTCTCTAAATGGGTCACTATTGAATTGAGTCTCATTGTCAGAGACGATAGCCGGGGGGATTCCAAATCGGGTGATGATGTTCTGTCATACGAACTTTCTCACCTCCACATCACGAATGCGGCTTAAAGGCTCGGCTTCGATCTATTTAGTGAAGTAATCGGTTGCCACCAACAAGAATTTCTTATCCAGTGGGGATCTTGAGAGAGGCCCGACAATATCCATCCTCCACCGTGAGAATGGCCAAGGGTTTGTTAGCAAGTTCAAATCTCCAGCAGGTTGCCA